AGAAATTTGGATGAGTCATCGACCAATAAAATATTCAGTTGCTTCTGGTATGTCTGCTTGTCGAGATGATCACTTTGAGCCAGCTATATGAGCAAAGTGCATCTGCTTTATGATGTCCGGTGCATGCGCAACTTTTCAACGTATGCTATAATCCATCGATTACCGCGTTGTAGAAGAAACTGTTGTTTCTCTGAAAACAAAGTTCTTCTACCCTGACCTCCTGTTCGAGTTCAGTTCCCACGTATCAGCTTCTAGAGCAGAATCTGGTGGGCTTTTTGAACATGGATCACACTGGACAAATGTGTCTCATTTTCTTAACCTCGTCATCTTGGCTGATACATGTGCTCAGGAATGAACATTGTAATCCTATTCAGCCCTCGTTTTGCGTAGAAGTCAACGACACATGCGGTTACGAGTAGTTGATTGACGACTTTTTGCTTTCCATGTAGGAGCGAGGATTAAACGGCAGGTTTTCGAAGGTGATGTCTCTGCAATTAATGCATTCGTAACAGAAATTTTTGACTGCTTCAGAAGCTTAAGCATTATTTACAAATTTAGTCTTTGCTCTTAATAAGTAAGGTTAATTACCAGGTGCTTTCAAAATGGTAGCTTAATGCTTTCTGTTGAAAAATTCCGATTCACCGCGATCGCTCGTTGCTCAAGTTCTCTCAAAGCAGACCGAACTGATTGGCAAGAAAAAGACTGCCACTTAGCAACCGATCAACCACTGGAGTTGCAACGGACACCAAAACAAAAGAGCGTTATATCTCAGTAAAAGAATGGTTCAAAAATGCAACAACCCGTTTTCCTTACCCAATGAATTTTCAACGATTACGCGCTTATGTTAAGATGTCTCGATGCAAACTGCTTTTTTGAGCGCATGTTTTTCAGGCTACAACGCAAGTTCGTGCCACGTTGTGTGTTAATCCCGGATCTGGAAAAGAGCAGGTACGTGTTTACCCTGATTGCAAGCCATAATCCTTCTGATCTACTCCATGGACTTTCCAATTCGGACTTCTCAATTCACTTTTTTAAGTGGTCAGTGCATAAAATCTTTTGGTCTTAAAAACAAACACCGATCTTATCGGTTTAACACCAAACTGATAGTTTTCGATAGTGTCATTAAGAAAAATAATTTTTTTCTTTTGCTACCTGATTTACACGGCGTACCGACACCATCCCTTTGCGTCTAGCTTTCGTGTAAATTTGGTAGTAAAAGAAAAACGCAATTTTTCATATAGGCGGTATCATAAATGAGCAATATGCAAGTAAACCGATAAGTTCGGTGTTTATTTTATGTACATATCCTATGGATAATGACATATCAGCAGCTCTCCGTACAGTATTTTGTATGGCCCTGTCCAGTGCTGCGGTTTTACATCGATTCATTGCCCGTACCCAAATACCATGGTTTCTTATGTTGCTAGAGGCAAAGGGACGGTGCCTGTACGCCGTGTAATTCGTTAATAAAAGAAAAGTGTTAAAGTCTTCGTTTTTATTTTAAAGCAAGACTAACTGAGACCGCATTACGTCACTTTCAGTGGTTTGCTCATGTGCGATGCTTTGGCATTGGATCAAATTTCGGTTTGGACATTTCCGGGCCAATCAAATTTAAATTAAGTAA